TCTGTCTGAGAGTTGTGGTCATGTCTCTCTACTAACAAAATCATAGCGCGAAAACGGTAAATATTACTAAAGGACTTTTAACATATACCACTTGGTTTGTTGAATTTTAGACGGACGTCATTGAGGAAGACTGCAACGATTGACAAAAGCTCGCCACTGATTGATGGGTACCTTAAACACCAGGTGAATGTTTGAATGTTTTGAATAATGTAGTGCCCCTTAGTGGTGTAGGATTGACCCGAGAATTTAATTCGAAAATCTGTTGTGCTTTATTTTGTAGCTTTCCATTCAGCATTTCAACCGGTCGGCGCTCCGTAAAGTGCAAACACGTGATCACAGCCAACCAATGATTGACCAAGATAAAGATTACGGAGGAGACGTCAGTAGCGGAGATGAAAATGAGGATGCCAGCCCGTGATAGTCATGTTCTTACCGCTTTCAGGTCACACATACACAGATTTCATTGGGTTTATATTTACATTTAACAAGTAGTCGCCCCGAAGTGGAGGTAGATATCCACCACGAGACGAGCTGAATAATTCCTTTAATATATACCACACAAGAACCAAATAGTCAGTTGATGTTTGTTGATATACAGAAAGTTGATCGGAAATTAAACTCTTGACTCGCAGTTTTGTCTCTTTGGCTAATCGGAGTTGAATAGTGCTTGCTTGTCACTTCCCAACCAGCCAATCAGCGCCCGCGAAAAACGCCTTCACTTTTGTGGTATATACTAAAACAAATATCGAGAAATGGAACCAGAATGGAAATATACATGTCATTTGTGTTTTTCGCTGAAAAATAGTACTTCGTTAATGTTTCTTTGAAAATAAGTTCTTAAATTTTTTTTCTTTCGGCGAAGCCAAATGAAGATTCTCCTTGCGAGAGTCTTAGTTTATTGTGTCGCTAGCACTTTAGGATAAAGCGACGTTCAATTAATTGTAATGCCTTCAAAGAAGGACTCTTCTAATCTACGATTTATGCAACGTGAAAGGGAAGAAAATCGATAAGAATAGAAAGAAAGTTTTCAACTTGTAATAATCTCATTTCCTTAACTTCGAAGAGCTTTTTAGTTTTGTACTGAAATAACTCTGTTAAAATACCTGAAAATACGTTTGATTATCGTTTTTCTAGGTTAGCGTAGTCGAGATTTTCTGATGGTAAATATTAATAAAATAATCATAATTTATCAACGTTTGTTTCCCACGGTGCGTCGACGTATGAAAAAATTGTCACTCATCAATTATTTCCCTTGACCTTTTCACCTTTTCAAATTTCAGCACCCAGTCGCTTCTTATTAGTGAAGTGATTGATGGGAAGGATTAAGTGAACTCGCGTTGCATCGCCACTTTTTCTCCCTCCTTAAATGCCTTTGCGCGCCACAATCCCCTACCTTTATAGGATGTTGAATGCCCCTGTCAAGCATTTTATACTGTTTCGACATTAAGGTGATAATCAGATCAAAACAATCACATAACACGGGTTTCTTTTAAGTTTGGGGATTACAACAAACTTTCGTTTTTATAGACCTAATTTTCACTCATTGTCAAAAACATCAAGGAGCACAACTCTGGGCAGGGCTACTTGAAGTGAAGGCGAAATAAATCATTAAAACAAATAATTCGATCAGCTCTTGACGGCGAGAGGCAAAAATTTTTGTTCTGTTCAAGTGAATGCAACATGGACCGAGTTTAGACGGCGCTTCTTGGTTAGCCAAAGTAGAGAGTATAATCAAAACCACTTTGCCGCTAGCCTTGAGACAGTGCGCCAGAACTGGAAAATTAATGTGATAATACTAAGGGGGCAAAACCCTCAAATAGGGTTGGCTGGTGAACTGGGAGCGAGCGCGGGTCAATGAGTACGAGGTAATCTAGGTTGCAGTGATTGTAGTACTTTTGTAAACATGGCGGCTCGCCTGAAGTAGATTACGGTAGGTAAGTGTTTGTTGAAAATAGTCTTCATCTACTTGAGGTCAAAATGTAATATAAAATTAAAAAATTTCTGTGAGTGAAGACCTCGGAATTGTTAATTGCTTCTAATGAATAGTTTGCCATTCGTACAGGGTGACCACATAAACATAGGAGTGTTCAGACATGTCATGTACAAACTGAAATATTTCGATTGGAGTTATACAGAATTCCTGCTCGAACTTGCTGATGATAATCAATTTGTTTTACTGATGCAAAACGGTTCAAACCACTACTGTGATTTTGTAGTTAACATATTCCCCGTATTTTCTCATAAACAATTCAACCACAATTTCCCATTGTCTACAACCATATTGATCATAGAAATGATGTCAACAATGTTCAAAACTTAAGTAAAACCACACAAGGTGCATGATAGGTTTCATTTAAGTTGACGTTATTTCTATGATCAATAAGGTTATAGACAATGGGAAATTGTGGTCAATTTGTTTTTCACAATAGCATTGATATTTTTATGCCAGCTAACTGCGCCAAAGTTGTTGGAAAGTCGGGTATGCGTAGCATGATCAGTGGCTGCTCTGTTATTTTTGCTGTTGTTGTCATTTTAATTTGTGTTATGTTATGACTTCTTCGATTAAATACCTGTTAGTTATGTATGGCAAATAGAAGATATAATGTGGCTGTGTGGAGATGTGAAATAAATTTTCTCACCTTGTGTTGTGAAAAATGTTTTAAGAGTGAGCAAAGCCAACAAGTGAAATAATGTTCAACACAAGAGGAGATATTTCTTATCTCCAAGTGGCTGTGTAATATTCAGTTTATTATATAAACACCAATGAAAAGCTAAATCATTTCACTTTCACCACATAAGGGGAGACTTAATATTTAACCACAGTAAGGGACCAGTGTTATTTTCACATGTGAAGATATCACATTTTCTTGCAAAAGCCAACCTGGTATTTCATTGGTGTTTATATGATATTATTAAAAACTGGATCATTGGATAATGCAATTCAAGACTTTTTATTGGCTTAGCCATTATGGTATATGAGCCAATATACCATAATCTAATATCTGTACATTGTAACATATAGTTTCTTCTTACAAAATAAAGTTGAGAAGATTTGTCTAATATCTTGGGGGCATTTTTTTTTAATAAAACATTATTCCACTCGTACTTGTTGATATGAGATGATCATAGCCAACTCGGCACTACGCACCTCATTGGCTGTCTATCATCTCATATCCAACACGCACCGTGGAATTATTGTTAAATAGACTCTACTGTCCCGAGTTGTTTCTAGTGCCCATTTAGTTTTTATTTTTGTATTCCCATTATTTCAGTATTGGCAAGTATTTCTTTGAGGTCATTTTCTTTCAACTGGCTTTCTTTTTCTGAGGATTTTTCCTTTGCATTTTCTTCCACTGCAATTTCTCCAAGTTAAGTAGTCTTAACATTTGGAAATTAGTCACTGTCCATATTTCAGAAATTTGCATTTTTTTCTTTTTTGGAAGAAATTTTTTCTTCAACACAGTGAGGTTTATGGAGAGTTGTATGACATGTTGCATCGTTTTTATGATCTATCACCTTATTGCTAATAGCGTCTGACCAATGAGCAAGCAAGACTTCTATCATTATTATTAAAATATTGATAACTTATCAATTTTAAGCGTTATTGGATTAATTACCCACTTACAAAAACATTTCATCTTCCACTTTAATCATCAGATCTAAAGAATTTTGTGATCTTCATGTCCATGAAAGGCTGTTTTGTAGCTTGATGTGATGCTTTGAGAGCGTCAGAGTTATGCAGCCAGAGAACAGTAAGCAAGGCATTGACCTGACATCCATTAAAACCTTGAAAAAGCAGGAAATCCCACAAGAACACTGTTATGGACGATGTAGGCCAGTCACAGAGTTTGAAAAACTCAATCGCATTGGAGAAGGAACTTATGGTGTGGTTTACCGAGCTCGTGACACTGTTTCAAACAAAGTAGTTGCACTGAAAAAAGTAAGAATGGAAAGAGAGAAAGATGGGATACCTCTCAGTGGATTGCGGGAAATAAGTCTTCTGTTAAATTTGGAACACAAGAATATTGTAAAGCTCACAGAAGTAGTTGTAGGAAAACACCTGGACAGTATTTTTCTTGTCATGGAATACTGTGAGCAAGATCTGGCAAGCTTGCTCGATAACATGACATCTCCTTTTCAAGAATCACAGATCAAATGTTTTATGTTACAGCTTCTTCATGGTGTACAGTACCTTCATGAGAAGTTTATTGTGCACAGAGATTTGAAAGTATCAAATCTATTGCTAACTGGGAAAGGAACTCTTAAGATTGGTAAATGAAGACATCTAGTTCTAAATGTTGGAAACTCTTTGTGAGCATTACCAAGTTGGAATGCAGACAAGGAGCTTAGATTGCCTTAACAAAGTGAAGTGGGACCATGAGGAATTCTAAGGGCTGGTTATTTAAACAAAGTTTAGCCATTGCTCAACAAAACCGCATTAAGCCATCTTCAATTTAGCCGACTTTTTATCTGAACATTTATTTTTGAGAACGTTGTCAAGAGGGCCTAAAGCCATTTGTGGAAGGACATTTATTTAATTAAATCAACCCTCTTATAGAGAATTCCCAAGGACCCTACTGCTTGCATAAAACTGTCGTTTAAGTCAAAACTTTTGTAAATAACCAGCCCTAATTTGTTGAATGCCTTTCAAATTTGTCAATTAGTTGTCAGCATAGTTAATCAATTAACTATGTTGTCAGCAAAGTAAATGACCAATTTTTCTTTTGCAGTATCTGCTAAAGTTTGCACACTGTTATGAAAACACTTACCATTTTAGCTGGTATGCTCAACCTATTACACACTTGATACTGACTAGGAGAATTTGCTTTACAATCAAGAGCTTCTTACATTGGTGATCACACCTTTTATTCTCCTAACCTTTACATTTGATTCAAGGGTGATAATTAAAAGAGAAAGTTTAGAAGCTAGTCACTCTGAGGGGTTAAAGGCCTAAAATAGAAATACATTGTAATATAACTTATTAACTTTGACAAAAATATCATAGCTTCCCTAGGAGAAATAAGATCATATTATCTTCCTGTTGTGTTGTTTAGCTGACTTTGGTCTGGGCAGCACGTTGGACTACCCATACAAGGCCATAACACTAATTGTGGTGAACCTGTGGTATAGAATCCTTTAACTATCATTTTTCTGTTGTGTTGTTTAGCTGACTTTGGTCTGGCCCGCACATTTGGTTACCCGTACAAAGCCATGACACCGATTGTGGTGACCCTGTGGTATCGTGCGCCAGAGCTCTTGCTTGGCTCCAGAGTACAAACCACAGCGGTGGATATGTGGGCCGTGGGCTGCATTTTTGGTGAGCTCCTTGACAATAAGCCCCTTATGACTGGCAGATCAGAGATCAACCAGTTTCAGCTCATCGTGGATCTACTTGGAGCACCAAGCGACCAGATTTGGCCAGGATTTTCAAGCCTGCCTGGAGCCAAATCCATGAACTTCAAACGCCAGCCCTACAATAATCTGAAACACAAATTCTCGTGGTTGAGTCCCGCGGGGCTGACTCTGATAAATCATTTATTGATGTACGACCCATGTAAAAGAGCTTTGGCGGCCGATTGTTTGCAGAACTCGTATTTTGTCGAAAAACCACTTCCGGTGGAACCGGATATGATGCCAACTTTTCCTGAGCACCGGAACCGGAACTACAATAAGAGGCCGTCTGATTATCGAGCTGGAGAGAGGCGACCTGTTCCCCACGAGACAGAGTATGAGTTTCGAAGAGGGTTTGCTGATTTTGGGCCTCAGTTGCCTCAAAAGAAGAAAAAGAAATGAAACTGATGATGATTTTTGGTTGCTTGTTTATTATCAACTTTGCATTTGTCTCGTGTTGTTTTCAGAAAAAACAAATCGGAGGCATATCTTGAAGATCTGTTTTGGCTTTTATTCCCTGCAGAGCACTGTAGCTGGCATGATCGAGGAAGGCATGGGGCGAGCAACAATGTGGCCCCCATCCCCTCCATTCGCAATCTCTCCTTCCCGGTTTCCCCACGAACAACATTTATCTCACCCCAGGCCTTGCTCCACCAGGCGGCAAACAACACTTGATCAGTATGTTTTGCGCCCGTGTATATTTATGCAATCTATCTTCAAGATGACCTAAAATTAGCAACATGAAAAGCTACGGGACGTGTCACAAAAACTGAGAAAATAAACGGAAGGACCGAGACTTAAAAAAGGCGAAATTAAAAACAATTATTGGGTTTACGCAGGAAAGGCTGGGGTTTTGTCCAGAAAACCCTCTTGCATATCGACGTGTTCAACTAAAAAAATAATTTGAAAATTTTGGTCAATACTCTGTTCCTTTTCTCCAAAACAAAACGGCTAAAAAACGATAAAAATTAATATCGGAGTGTAAAGGGCATATCAGTAATTGAAATACTCTGAAACACAATACTGTGATCTGAGAGTAAAAATATAGACGAGAATATTCTCAGGCTTACATCTTCAAAAAGATAATTGTATTAAGGTTGGACATGAAAATATTCACTGTAGTATTGCATGAAAGTGTATGCAGGAAGTTGAGAACAAAATCTATCTCTAGCTACACGATTTTAAAACTGTTTGTCAACACATGAGCTTAATGTGGACACAGTAACTTGGTTGTAGTAATGACGTTATCACAAAAGCATTTACCATAGACTTGACTGAGTGGGTGTTTGATCTAAAAGAGTCTTGTGGTGTCATTATTGATATTATAATTTAGGTTTTATTGCTCAACATTCTCGAAATTTCACATTTGAGAGGTTATCGTCACCTTTTAAACACTGACATATGCATACTTTTCTTGAAGAAAGTTGTGTTTAGATAGATTTTCCTGAAATAAATTCTAGGCATCATGGGAACACGTACTGTTTCATTAGAAGTTAAATTACTTTACTTAGAAATCATCGAGTTGATTGGTATACAGTTGTTGCACTTCTAAGAATAATCTTTGTTTTTATCAAACGTAAAACGTAGCATGAGTAAATAGAAAATTATATGCTCTTGCGGCAAACAAACGACAAGTTTGCCTGAACTGAAGCTATAAAAGTATACCGTCGGCAACTGGCAGATGTCCTAATTTGATATAGCGTGATAACATTCCATCAATCGACCTAAGTCACCTGAAGCATATTCGTCGATTACAACTGGCTGAAATCTCGCTAAGCATCCGTTTGGACATCTATGACAGCAACGTACCTCTTAATTCCATGTCCGAAAGTTAATTTGGTTTGGACATTCCGAAACAATGGCGTCAAACTTTTCAGTGAATCATGGCTGATAGTTTCTAAAGAAACTGTTTGGGGCTGCGTCGGTGGGGGTAACGAAATAATTTAGATAATTTTCAGTGAATCATACGGTCACCTAACCAATATTTCTAGTACGCTATATTGAGAATTTCAGTTATGATAACGTGGTTTTATGATGTAGGATTCTAGTTCACTGTTGCATTCTCTTTATTTTTTTTTCTTTGTACTCATGATTTTGAAGTTTTTCAGTAAAAACGATCAATTCACTTTTCCTTCTCTTATGAACAATCAGGCAAGCCAATATTTTTTCGTGATTTCAAAACCTGATTTGAACTGTGATAAACTCTGCAGTGTTTTACACGTTATGCAAGTTTAAAAAACAAGGTTTTTTGTATAGCTGAATGGCTTCATCAGTGTGCAATGCTTTTTAACCGTTTTTTTGAATAGTTACTTTTGCCAGTGGAAAAAAAAGAATGAATCAAGCAATGCGTGTATTCATTCTAGCTCCTTTGTATCATTTCTTCAAGGCAAAGAATTTCCATCAAACTATTATTTGCCCTAAAGCAATCGTTTACAGAGTCGCTTATACCCTTTTGTGCCTTTTTGGGGACAACCCCTTCTTGAAATAGCTTTACTCGCAAACGAGCTCACCTATGACCTACATAACAAGTACCACAAATATTGAAAAGGGAATTTTTACTGACGTTATAAGCTAAAAAATATCGGCTCCGATATTAAACAGTGAACATGCAGTGATTTCACCTGTCATCAGCTGTATTAACTTTAGGGACACCACCGATCTTTCATTCTCCTTCACCTTGGTTGTCATTTAGACAATTGGTGTATGCTCGATGGGGAACGTGGCGTTCGATATCGTGATTTTGTGTCTTACGATCCACGGCGTAACAGCTGCACAAACACTCAGACGATACCGGAGAGAAGATTGTAAGTTTTAGTAATCATCTATTTGTACTGATCTAGACGCTATAACCCTCAATCCAACAGAACGCAAGCTATACTCCAACGAGAACACTTATTTGACTGAAAATGTCGTTAACAGTAACGACCTAAAACTGACAGCTGATTTCAGTTTTCTTCCAGCTTTAAATTTTGAAACTTACACTCGAAAATACATTGAAGTACCTGTCGAGGTATATTCAGTTCAAAACAAAGTTTACATGTAGATTACATGTGTAAATCTCGAGGAATTACTACATAACACGATGAGGTTAATTCGTTTTAAAGTGGCTCAGAATTCTCAGAACAACTAAACCTGAGCGAATGCTTACTCTCGCTTACTCTTGTGGTTTGTTTAAAACTTGGGCGCGATGTTTAATTTGTGGGCCAAACTTGCAACGTATACGCATGACTCCGAAAGAAATGAGATGAAATCGTTTTCAAAATAGAACAAACTGAAAGGTCGACTTGCAAGACAGATTACTCACACGAATGCCGCAATTACAATAACGTGCAATTAAGAGATCACGCTGGCAGAAGAGGATCACTTCCGAAAGGTTTCAGATCGAATCTTTTAAATTCTTAGATTTGGCGTGAAATTGAAAAATTAAAAAAAATTGCATCACTCTGTGGCAGGTACGAGTCAGATCTTTCAGAGTTCAAATAACTTTTTAAGTTCATCTTTCCTTGAACAGAGTAAAACAAAGACGAGTCAGTGGAGAAATTGCCATGGAAACAAATATCTACTATATTCAACGCAGGATTAGTTATGAACGTGAATTCCCTACATCCTGTTCCTGATTTGTACCACTGATTCTTCAATCTTATCTTGATAGAATTGAAAATTAAGTTAGTACCATCGAGAACAGTAGGCAAGTAAGCTGTTTCCTTATTTGACGGATAAAGAATGGCTTATTGAAGTAATTTAAAATCACAATTTTCAATTCATTCTTCAGTAAATTTGACAACTGTAAACACCAAGCATGACGACATCGCCCACTTCACGTGCTCAGTACGTGACCAGACAGCAGGCATCACGTGGAAAAGGGAGAGAACGGATTTAACAGATGGCGATCTTGGTGTAGCTGTGCTCGAAACGAAAAATGGCAACAATAAGGAAAGCCATTTATTTGTCGCTGTGACAGATGATGATTTACGAGGAAAATACGTGTGTATATCAAGAGATAAACCTAACGAGGTGCTACAAACATTTGTCATTGAAAGTAAGAAAACAGTCTACCTATTAGTATTCAAACATAAGACTAACGCATTGGAACTAATGAAGATAAGTTTGTTCAAATTTCCGCCCCCCCGGGCAAAAATTAAATTCAGATGCCCTTCCCAATTTTTTCGTAAAAGACAAAATCAGTGACCGTGACTTTCTAGACACTGACCAAGCTTTAAAACCCTATAGACCTTGACCATTTCTTCTGAGCCATTAGCTCGCGATAGTGAACTATCTTCCTTTCAACACTTCCATATTTAAATATAGAACACTTGTATACCCAAGCCAGACAAGGTTCTCATTCCTTACTCCCCCGTGCCCGTGGGTTGCCCTAAAAAGGGGGGAAAGTTGAAGCTTCGAATTGATCGACGATGAATTTCTGGCCTCTCACAATAGCGTCTTTAATTCATTGTGTGAACTCTAACAAAAATGTCGCTTCCGTTATTTGTGAACAGCTTTAAACTACCAATTAGTTAAAGGGTTGATTGATTGACTGGTTGATTGCATTTGGTCTTAAATTAAAATTTACCTTGAAAAGAAACTCTGATAGCTTCCTCTCGAAAAAAAAGGAAAGAAAAAATTCAGTTTACGGAAAAAATAATGTATCATGTAAGTATCTGAACAACTGCGCACAACCTCGTTCCCAGGACCTTTTCCCGCCCCACCCCAACTAAGGGAAGAGGATTAGGGTTAGAGATTGAACTGCGCACCTACCCCTCCCCTAACCAAACAACAGTCTACTTGTAACCTATTCTCAGATATTGAGAATAATCCAAACTAGCCATGGCAACCAAACTTCAGTTCTTGCTGCTTGCTACTCACACCAGCTTGGTCCTACAGCTGATTATCATCTGCCAAAACAGCTGCTCAATTGGTTCGGAATGGCGTCGTCATCACAGTAGCAAATCTAGAAAAAAACACCTTAAGTCATTACTTTTCCTCAGCACATTACGTTCTTTTTACTTTACAGAGGACCCTGCTCGTGAGGGAAAACTGAGCCCTGAACAATACTGGGCGATCATTTTGTCCATTTCAATTGCTTTTCTTCTCCTGGTGTTCATAGCCTTTTTCCTGTGGCGCGGAAACCGGAGAATCAAGAAATTACAAAAAGAAGGGAAGGCGCAAAAATCCAGAAAGAACCATAGGGGAGCCGAGGTATGAACACCATTCTGAAAATTTGAAATCTGATCTTTTATCTCAGTCAAGAGATGTTGAGGTGCGCATGCTCTGTAAAGTCAGATTGATTAATCTAAGGCGCCGTTCAGAGTAGTGTTTCCACTGAGATCGAGAAGGCTCAAAGTACTCATGCATGATTAAGGGAGGACAAGAGATTATAAACCGTATTATCTCTTGGGGAGGACAAAGAAAAGTTTGATAGAAGATCAAACTAATACTCTGAGGATCTCGTCTAGAATTTCTGTAATCGAAGTAAATCTTGGACTCCACGTTTCGGTCTCCACATGAAACGACCACGAACATTAATATCACCGCTTCCCACCCCACTCCGTATGGGATATAGTCGATAGTCACTTAGGTACCACACCTCCTCCTCTCCCCTCCCCCTCCCTCCCCTCTCTTAAACCCTCTCAGAATTTGCCAGTACCAATTCAACTTAATTTTTGTTCTTGGGCCATAGTAATTTTATCAAAAATAAGACACAAACAGCAGTGATAAACATATTGAACTTGCACATTTTGATTATGACTTGACGTTTCGTATCGGTACTCCAAATACACTTTCAAAAGTAACCGTTGAAATTTAAAACAGCTAGGTTTTAAGATTTAATAAAGCAGATTAATAAAGCTGTTGCTTTATTAATCTGCTCTAGTGTTATTGTTTATTGTTAAGTTTTTGCTTAATCTTGGTTCCAGTCCGCTCACCTTAGTTATATATATATATATATATATATATATATATATATATACATAGCTGTTTTAAATTTCAACGGTTACTTTTGAAAATGTATGTGGAGTACATACGAAACGTCAAGACATAATCAAAATGTGCAAGTTCAATATGTTTATCACTGCTGTTTGTGTCTTATTTTTTGTCAAATTAACTTAATTTTCTTCAAACTTTCCTTTCTTTTCCAATTTTTGGCTCTTTTTTCCCTATTTAGGGTTGTTGTTGATGAAAAAGAGAGCCAATAGCGAAGGAAAAACTGCTAACATAGATGTTATTTCCCATACTTTACAGATTTCATCTCCGTAATGAGAAAAAAAAAAAACTTGTGGAAAAAACTGCGACAAAGATGAGCTTCTTGTTGACCTGGTTTTCAGAATTCCCGACAAGATTACCATACACAACGAATATATGCAATTCATATATCTGAACTGCGGTTATAGAAACGTATTTGTGCACGATGATCCTCGCAGTAAAGAGCACTATTTGTGAGCAATAGTGATTTTTTTAAAAATATTACCATTGAAGCACAAAAGTCTCCAATACTCGCATAACTGCCTACGTTTATGTATTCATTGCTTACAGTACATTCTCTGTCTCTGTCTATGTCTGCCTGTAGGAAAACCTTGCTGTAGAAGAGGAGCTTGTCGAGTTCAGAGGATATAGAGTCGAAGCTGAAGCCGAGAGAAATGAGCAGATAGCACCCGACAGTAGAAATGAAAATGCCAGAAATAACAGCGCAGAAGACAATCAAGAGGATAATACGACACAGGCTGTGATTGAGTTGTCGGGGAGAAAAGGGAGAGAAGGCTGTACGCAGTTCTGAGAGAATTTTTATTTCTTTTCGAGTCGAATAATTATTGACGCTTGGATTAATATTAGACGGTCTGTGGTGGTCGTCTGAACTGACCAGTTCCGAGTAAGGAAAAATTAACTTCGAAAAAAATACAGATTATATTGTGAACCAGCAAACTGAAATTAACTGCAGACGCTAATAGAGCAAAGAAGAAGCAAGGAGTTTTTTCTAATTTTATTTGGTGAATATAATATGACGGATGTATCACGCGGCCTCGGCTTGGTTGAAAACCGATCGTGTTTCTAAACCCAGAGGAATTTAAAAAAGGCAACAAACCGCACTTTATAATGTATTGTAATTTGGTTCATTAACTATGTTTGGTTATATCAACTAAGTTGAAGCGAAGGTTGCGCTCTGACGAAGGGCTAACGCTCGAAACGTCAGCTTTTAACTCGTTACGATGGCCAATTTACAATTTCAAATTAACTTGTTACCCCCACCGACGCAGCACCACAGTTTCTTTAGAAACTTTCAGCCTTTATTCATTTGCACTTTATAATGGTTTACAAGCGTAATAGTCATTTCCCAGGAGTCGTTTGGTCTTGTCAAGCAACGCAGAACGGGAATCGCTCGAAAGTCGTATAAATTGTAGTTATTTACGTGTGTTAAGGTTTTATTTGCTAAGAGGGGAAAACATTTTTACGCTATTGTATGCCATTTTCCTTTATCAATCCTAGCTATGAGAGAAGAACGATACTTACTTCTCCCACGCTACGAGACGCTCCAGCAACCGTCAAGTGTATCTGTTATGTCTAGTCAAGTGAACTACACTTCGTTGATTTTGATTCAGCCTTTGTTTATCAAGTGCGTATATGTGATCCAACGGTTCAGATCTACTCATGCTAATATTTACCATTTGTTTGCCGTTCATTTATCATTCTTATTTTCATGTTATTCGATCTTTTTAAACAAATGTACAAGGCTCCCTCATTTTGAAGATAATTTGCTTGCTCCTTGAGCACTTGTCAACCGTGGATGATGGACATTCCACTCGGGCAACCTATATCGTTAATAGGTTAACCTATTCTTAGTTCTAGAAGGAAAATGAAGATAAGATTACCATAGCGCCCTATATCGTGGGCGGAAGAAAAGTTACATGTATAAAGGTAAACTTAGGTTCTGCATTGGCAGAATTCTTTTTTGCGTGTGTAGTTTTTTTCCTCTGGCGAAGTGCTGACGTTTGTTCAAAACCCTAAATCAAGGTTTGTTTATTCATGGGGTCTCGAAGTAGTCAACCCCCTTCATGATTGATTACGTCTTTCTCATACACTTGTTTGTAAGCTCTTTTCTTCTCTGCTTCCCTTGTACCTTCTCTCATCTTCTTTTCTCTCATCCTCGGAGACCCAGGGGCTGAGTCGATTTCAAGTTAGGGCATTAAGAGCCCCTGGGGACATTGTCTTACAAGACTAGTTCCAAACGGTCGCAGTCGTTCTGCCATCTTATTAGTGCCAGAAAATCTTTGTGTTTTTCTGCCCAATCAGAGTGAAGTGTGCTTTAGAGTCCTTTCGTGTGTTTTAACACGGACANTAAGCTACTAGTGTATGTCCGTGTTAAAACACACGAAAGGACTCTAAAGCACACTTCACTCTGATTGGGCAGAAAAACACAAAGATTTTCTGGCACCAATCAGATGCCAGAACGACTGCGACCGTTTGGAACTAGTCTTGTAAGACAATTTCCCCAGGGGCTCTTAATGCCCAAACTTGAAATCGACCCACAGCCCCTGGGTCTCCGAGGATGCTTTTCTCTCCACTGACACAGCCAAGAAGCCCTTGCATTGTTCGATTATAACACGCAAGAATTCTCGCGCGACCATGACGCGAGTTTTTGACTTGAGAATTTCTGAGCCACAGATCGCAGATTAATCATCTGCAACCAAATTAACATGAATTTGTCACGCTTTTAAACTCCTTATGGCCTGATAAATCAAATCCACAAGAATTAATTACTTCTTTTTTTAGGTCAGTTTTGGAGTGGGGTGACATTTTCTCAGCCAATCACAAGAAAGGTCCCTACTTAGCATGTTCTTAAAAAAAGCGCAAAACATTCCGTTTTCCTTAGACAGTTGTACGTGCATTTTAAATTTGTCGCATCGAGCCCTGTTTAACTTTTGACACTACTGAGTTTTGGTTGCGCTGGAAACGTTTGCTTAGAGACAAAATAAGAGGCACGGAACTTTTCGATTATTTTTACCAGAGGAAGATTTCTGCAAACAGAGTCGAAGGAGATGGTGAAGGTTTTATTAAAAGTATATCAAGCAGAAAAGTGAAGGAATCTTAAATACGTCACTTCTTTGTACAGCCATTAAAAGATACAATATTGCGCACTCAGGTGTCACTAATCGTGAGCAAATTCCACCTTCATTTCAATAAAGTGAGCTTTGCGTCAGTTCTAAACGTTGAAGTCCAACCGTTTCACAGCTTAGGACAACAAACATTTTTTTTTCAGGGATGTATCAACAAACCGCTCTATTCGTCGCTATCTTTGTGTTTCTACAATTCATTCCTCAAGTGTCTTGCGGTAAGTGATATGATGAAACATCAGATTAGTTTTTTCTGCGCGGGGATCCAGTTTACGTAGTGTTTAAATGGCTCTTTCCAATCTTCGACTGTGAATTTGATTAGATTGCTGTTTTTTGTTTGACCATCACTCACGATGATAACTTTTAAGTAGCCATCGATACTGAACATGTTTATCAATCGACAATCCACGTATTGGCCGCGCGATTCAATATTATTACTTTTTAGTGGTGTATTTTCCGAAAGACCTTAGAATGCTTCAAAGACAACATTGTTTGATTTCGCGGATTCCATGAACTATGCAGCGAGTAGTTTGGAACTTTAAGGTGTCTCAGTGATACAGTGTTTTGTAAACTGTTACCTATAATTGTCTCGATATTTTTCAAGGCTCCTCAAACGGTCCTCAGACGTGATAACTTTTGAAACTTGTAGTCTATTTGAATGCCAGATCTTTATGGCTTTCTTTTGTTTTGTGAAACACCCTCAACATTTCCACGAAGGCGTAATGATTTTTCGTGGACCTCTCTTCGAGTCACGCACGAAGCGATAACTTGTGGAGACGGAGTATCATTTCCGTAGACTGTCAAAGTCCTTCTTTTGGCTTAACTAAAACCCTTTACCAAATGAAAAATTCACTTAATCAGTCTTTGTCGAGTTAACCTGACGGCATTACATGTCCGACGTGAGGTCCGTGTAAATATACGTCAAAATGAAGGTTTATCATTGTCAATCAAGTTAAGTTTCTTTCAGTGCAATTCCGAGTTTTGTATTTACAGCAGGAAATCACGAATACCTCTGAAGTCATCGTTTGTTTATGGTTTGATACGTCGATTTAAAATACCATTATCAGCTCTACAAGAACTGACAAGAACAGCAGAACCTTAAACAAACCAAACCTCACGATAAATGTCAATTCGACTTTTCTTCTGGACGTGCCGTACACTTTCTCATGAAAACAGCAAGCTCGACCCTCAATTTAAGTAGTTAATTTTAGTTTAATTTTTTTTTAACAGCGGAGCTAAGCGATGTTGACATCACTGCTATAGCAGTTTCACTGGGACTAACCGTGTTTTTGGTGTCATTTGTTGGCTTTTTTATGTGGCGAGGAAGGAATAGGCCACCAGTCAATAACATTGAGGGACACGTAAGTATTGAATCCAGCTTTTCCCTGCATTTTAGTATATTTTCATGACATTTTCTTTCACAATCAGTATTTAGTCTTTAACAACATTTCTAAAAGCTCAAAAAAAAAAACGTCCAACGCATAAAAAAGTAAACTTAAATGCCATGAACCCGTTTCTTGCTTCCTCCATGATTCTGTTGACTTCCAACTGAGTTACCCTAATTATCTGATGCCTTTGATTTACAATCAAAGAGCTCTAAATCTATAACGTATTACCACTAATGTTTCATGTCTTCATTATCCCCTCTTCATTTCGTTGTTTTGTTTTGTTTATCACTTGAATATGCGAAGTGTAATTGCAAAACATCTCGCTAGTTTGAGAGAAATTTCACCGAGTTGGCATATAGCAAAACATGTAAAGGTTTATGTAAAATGTTCCTCTTCTTCTGTTATCACCTTCCGTTGTCTTCATTTCTTTTTTTCACCTCATCCAAATATGTATAACTGTAAGAGTTCCTTCGAATCTATGGTAGTTACACCATACTTCAGCATGCAGCAAGATACGATCTAAATCTACCCTTCGGCGATTTTCTAGATGTTTGTATTGGTTTAAGAGTAGACTTGTCGCCCTGATACAAACATCTGTATCCGGCTGCCGATGTCGCATTTTGATGGAGCGATATCTATTCAGTATAGTTTTCCAGCGATCACTCTCAACCTTGGCATCTTTATTGATTCTAGAGTTGAAGACTTTCCTTTCTAGCGGCGTTGACATTCCATATAATAAGCTTCTCAGTTAAGGGATTTGTACAGGAATGCAAGACTGTTCCACTTTTGTCGCCAGTGAAAAATTTCCATGCAATATTGACCATTTCGTTTGTGTTTTTTAGAGAAATCCTGCTGTTGTTGGCGATGATACACTCGGACCGGGTGAAGTTCGTGGAATTAGCATGACTCATCTCCAATACATCAGCAGCTCGTAAAAAATCTGCCCCAGCAAGATTGACAAAGACATTTTGGAAAGCCTTCAACCGTGCAATGGCAATCAATTGTAGCGGTTATTTCGTCTTTTACATGATTCTGTACAAAATAAATTGTCAAGCAACTTTTATCAGCACTTACAGCATGGATTACAAAATTAAATTTAATAACAAAATAGTTCAGAAAAAAATCAGTTAGACTTTAAAAAGACTCTGGCTTTGAGTCATACACCTTATATCGATTTGCTCTTTATTATTGGTCGCTTGAAAAGTATATTTTCCGACAAATAATTTGGAAAATTCGTATTTAAACAATTACATTATTATGAAGTAAAAAAGGCCGGTTTGACTTTTGCCATGCTGAGTGTCCTTTACAAAGCAATTGTAGATACTGTATGTGCTTGTCTATTCATAGAATTAGACGATAACGTCCTATTGAATTCTGACCAGGTAAGACAAGTATTAAAGTACCATAAGGAAACTTTAAGCTTGAAGAGAGTGATGACTTAACGTCAAGATTGTATCCGCAGGCGAACAAAGGCTGGTTTCCTGAAATTCTTAACGGAACAATCGGAGAGGCGGAATTCTATTCAAAGTGCAAAACGTCAACAGTGAACAGGCCCAATCTCTCTCACAACTCTTATTTTGAATTTACGAAAAAGCTTCTCAATTTGTTCCTCTTTCAAAAAGCAGTCGTCCTCTTTCAAACTCAACTTTCGCAAATGCAACTTGACCTGAACATGACAATTAGGGAGATCGGTTTGGGAACATAAACCTTCCTCGTTTTATTGCATCGTCGACCAGAGTTTGTCCAAACCGATGGAAACTACCGAGAGAACGCAGGTGCTAGGTGGCTGGGTGTCTGTGATCGCCACTCATAGTTGCCCTAAAAGAGTGAGTTATTTCGTTGGCTTCCTTTACATGAATGTGGTTTTAAACAAGACCTTCTGAAAGGGTTTTCAGATTGGTGAAGGTGTCTAAATGATAGCATTTTTTTTCACTGCCGCGTGGAAACGTCAAAAAAGTCAAGAAATATCCTTAAGTCCAAGAACTCTCCTAAAGGGCTCGTGTGCAGTTTTTTCGCTTCAAAGTATCGCTTAACAAATTCAGAAGAGTTGATACAGATCTGACAGATCATTTCGTCCTGTTTAATTTAAGGACTAAGGTGTAACTGGTTGACAGGGAAAAAATTGGAGTATCATATCGCCTTTGAAAGAAATTAAACTCAAATTTCGAGGGCCGGGCAGTTCAAATAATACCACAACATCGGTTTTCTTATAAAATCGAAAATTCAAGTTGATTTAATAGTTCTTCATGAGTTCGGAACTTTGCGCATGCAGTAATCTGATTTATTAGCGAAGATAGCGCCTTTTAGATTTTGACTTAATTGTTTTAAACAGTTCGAAAAGCATAGACTACTGCTATAAACTTTTCTTTTGGTCAGTGTGCTCTAGTAAATTTATTCAGTTTTCCAATCCTAATGGATATCCGGATTAAAGGGACATCGTTCTCCTGTGCAAATGGATGCGAAGAAACATAAGAGCGGATTTTAAAGCTTGCCAGTTTAAGTAAAAGTTTCATTCTCTTTACATGACGCTCTGTGACAGCCTCTGTCACCTGTATTTATTGAGCCCGCACAGCGATAACCTTTCAAAGATTTGGTCCACACTCCAGCGTACGGCATTAGTTGATTCGTCGACATTTTAACGCCTGACAAACTTGCATGACAGGCGGATGGTCGTACTTCTCTATAAAGCGACGGCTGTAATGTGTTCCTTTCTCGAAATTCATTCGGCATTTTTTTTTTACTTTAGTTGATTAAAAAAGAGGGTTTACTCGTGACTTTTGTTTTAAATTCAACTCATTGAAATGCAACGCCAAGCTACTTAGGCGTGATATTTAACTTGGGTAGTTAAGGATAGAATAAATTATATTTTTCGCGATCGTTTTCGCTCGTGATCGCGTGTCGACACACGGTTTAGTTGCCATCATGCAATGAGTAATTTCTAACAAGAAGAAACTGTAATCTTTCAGTTTGATACATCGGACTAAAGGAAACGAGGGAGTACTCAAGGATAGATGATGTTTTGTGGCTTTACAACTTTTCGTCTCTCACTGGCTTTGTGTTGTTTGGCGCTGTTTCGAGTTGCGGTATTTGCTTCAAACGGTAGGTTGTGTAAAAGATCGATTCAATTTAACCTGATGATACGATTTTCCAAATTGCGCAGGGGCAAACTTTCAATATTCCAACCTTAACGATTAATAACAGCTAATAAACCGCCAGGCCAGGGGTGGTAGTTTTTGTGGAATAACGTCTTTCAGTCACCAGTCACGAAACCGGCGACGCTTGCTAATATTGAAATACTGTTTCTTAAAGCACTAAAATTCCAACGTAAATAATCGATTGGAATTCTTTCCTAGGACTTTTCTTGCGTTGTGAGATAGTTTGTGGAGATTTATGCCCGCCGACCCTATCAATGATTTAAATACAGTTTTCTTCTAATAAAGCAACAACCGAAGCTTTGTGGAACAAAGAACGTAAATTGTAAACAATTCTTTTGTACCTCATTATCTTATATTCCAGTTAAATTGTGATTGTTAGTGAATTTATTCCCTATTGCGAAGCTTCGAAGTTTCTCAGTCTGTTCTCAACCCGTAACGGCTGGATACATTTACAACTAAAAAGCGTGGTTATCAATATCAATGTGAACAAACAATTTCGTCATTTGATCAGTAGTTCAGAAGTTGTTGTTGTGATATTACAAAGCTTCGTAGTTCACAAGGCTTAACAGTGATAGGATTGTTACAAAGGGGCTGGGTTTGCATGGGAGCTATGCGAGAAGTTATCTTCAATTCTTCAACCGAACCAAATGGAACCGTTGAATTGAATGGAAAACCGGCAGAGTGTTGCCACGACGTTATCATGACGAACGACTAAAGCTGCAACAAAAGATTTGGCAAGCCCATTCTGGTAGAATTTTTTTAGAAGTATGTTTTGTTCTCCGCTCTAAAAATAACACTGACAGTGATTACTTTAATGCAGTAAAGCGAAAAAATTGAAGATGGTATGCGCTTGAAGGAACTTCTAGACGAAGATTGTTTTGCAAGGTGGTGGGTAATTTATGCATCATATGCCAAAGGTCACGAGAGGTCCCCCTGGGAGTCACGCAAAATATTTTGGCGACTGCTGATCAAAGCGTGATGAACTGCAAGCACTGTTTCGAGGACATGAAGAAGGAGACATGATGGCTTGCAGTGCAGGTGTCTTAGGCAGGGGTCGCACTAACGCTTTTGTTGTTTACATTGGACGTAAAATCTGTCATCGCCTCCTTGCGACAAGTGCGACCCTTTTGTCACGACCAGACATGACTATGTCCGAAGGACCAAAAGATAAAAAAAGCCGATGTCCTGCCTCGAAGCAGGTCATATCTTGTCTAATGGCCTTAAAATAAACATTTTTTTGCTATTCTTCTGTCGCAACGTTAATCAAGTCCGAAATAACGGCAAAAATTGGATTTTCGAAATTCCGCAAAGACAACACGTCACCAGTTTTCTTTACAACGTTTCATCTGGTCCTTAGGGCGAATTTCAACCCATACCAATTTACAAATTTGCACTATTCATCTGATTATTCTCAGTATGGGGATGGCTTGTTTTCACCCTTTGGCTCGCAGATCTTTTCCCATTTTTTTGCTTCCGTCGACGTCGGTTTAAAGCGGCAAGAGCCAACATTTGCCGTTGGCGAGTGTTGTACATTGCATCCGCAGGCGAACAAAGGCTGGTTTCCTGAAATTCTTAACGGAACAATCGGAGAGGCGGAATTCAATTCAAAGTGCAAAACGTCAACAGTGAACAGGCCCAATCTCTCTCACAACTCTTATTTTGAATTTACGAAAAAGCTTCTCAATT